AGGAATTAGACCAAGGGCTTGTTTACTCTGAGCAAGGTGTGGGAAAGCAGGAAGGGAGCAGTCATCGTAGAAGAAATTTTTCTTTTCCTTCTTTGCCCATGTCTCCCTCATGGCACAATTCAGAAACCAGGGACCTTTCTCATCAGATAAGGTTACCTCTGAAATGAGCACTAACCAGACAAGCTGACAGATTAAATCTCAGAGGCAATTTAAAAAGCATGAGTCAAACTGCAGGAGTGAACTGGACCTGCAAGACTGCAAAATGGGAAGATGGGAACTTTCCAAAGAGGAAATCCCAAAGATGTTTTGAATAGCCAGCCAAAGAGCGTCCACTGTGAATTCCCCATAGAGGAAAACCCCAAACAGGAAAGATTTGCTTTCGGTACATGGCTAGGAAACCAGCACTACCAGTCTGTGGGAACTCAGGATGTCCTTCTGATGTGCGTGTACTTTTGAATCCCACAAAAAGAAGTGCAAAGATTACAGCAGATTAGACCTTCAGGCACAGAGCAACTACAGACGTTTTCTGTGGCCCGTTTTCACTTCTGCCTCACTTTTCCATCTTCAAAATGGGAAGAATATACAGCATTTTCCTAGCACACAGGCAGAGTGAAGATAAAGTTGCTAATGCAGAGAGGATGACCAGGTGAGGAAAAGCCTTCACAAGACAGAAAGAACACACCAGACTGGGGAAATGCCCTGGTGTGATGGCAGAGCACCATCACAAAGTGACACTGGACACCTTTCCCCACCGAATCATGGCTCCATCACAAGCTCTTACACCACACAGCACAGCAGCCTCCAGCTGGGAAGAACCCTTCACCAGGCTCTTGTGAGGATAAACCAGAGACAGCTTAGCTTTTCAAAGCCAGGGTGACAGATGCCGAGTTTGAAGCCTGATTTGGGCAGAGAAGCCAGGCGCTGCAGGTGGGACACCAGGGCCCAGTGCAAGGTGGTTCCCAGACTCGCACGTCTTCAGGTAGGGACCCAGCCAGAGCTCCCATGTGGCCCCACACAGGGAACCTCACCCAACAACTGCACATCAAACACAGGCTGCCCCAGGAAAGACTTTCAGCCCCGACTTTAAACGGAGAATTCCTAATTAGACTCTCAGTTAAAGATGTGCAGCTTATTTATGTCAGCACCGAAGAGCTGCTTCAAGACCTCTGACATTTCTTAAAATATACATAGCGACAGACTCCAGCTCATCTGACAAAGGTCACCCCCTCCCAGACACACCAACCAGCAGACACAAGCCATCCTCTCCCTGGTGTAACAGGGTTCTCCGGCCTGAAAACACGTTATAACCGATAGGCTACAGCAGGGACAGGCAGTGAAGGCTCCTCTGAACTACCTGCTCTGCAAACACCTATCTCCCACAGGCTTCCCTCCCTACCCAAAGAGAAGCAAATCTTTCCTGCTGTTAGTATAAAACAGCATCACTGTGAAAAACAAGTGTCAGGGCTGTGACATCAGCGCAACTCCCTGCTGGGACAGCGGTAATGAAAGCAGGTCTTCGCTCCCAGGCATAAAAGTCTCATGGTCTGGATAACATTAATCTTCCCCAATTCTAGCCTACCAAGGCAATGCATCGCATCTAATCTAGTCCAGGGGAGTCAGCTGGCCTCTTGCCACAGCATTGAAGAACTCCAGCATCCTCACCCCAGTGTAAAACAGCTATCCAAAATAGGATATATGTTGGAACTGAGCCGCTCAGGACTTTTGGGATGTGCATGAACCACCTGGTCAAATCACCCTTCCACTTGATGCCCTGAATCGTGCAGACTCTTTGTTATCACAGGAAAGGGAGCCACAGCGTGCAAGAAGATGCACAGGTAGCATCAGACACCCCTCTGGAAGATGCTGCCCAACTCTGTGTGGCACGAGCAATGTCTGAGCAAAAGAGAGGGGCTGGGACCCCCGGGAGCAAACAGGAGAGAAGCGCGGGGCAGTGAGAACCGTTGCCGTGACTTACGATGGGCTGTAGCTGCGCGCCCGGTAGCATGAACTGCATTTGCTGAGCAAACATGGCTGCGGCTGTCTTCTGTTGGATCAGGTTGTTGCGTCCATTTATTTCAAGTTGTGTTTTTAAGTGCGGGGGAGGGTGGAGATATTTGCAGTTCTCTCGGGTACACCGGCCCTATAAAACATAATGAAACAGCATTTCAGTGAATGTAACGCTCAGGGCAGCCATGGAATTTAATTACGGATTGTTCGGGTTACTGTAACAACACAACCATGGAGGCAGAGGCCCTTTGGTAGCCACAGTGCCTCTTCTGTGATTTTTCTATAGCGGTGCAATAGATGAAGAGCAACGTGACCTCTCCTGCAGTCACACTAACCAAATGCCATCAAGCTAAACCCAGTGGTTAAAATGTTAACATTACTGTTGTGAAAAAACCAATGTAACACACACGCCTGTATTTTCAGAAGTTAGCGGCAACAGTTGCAGAAACTCCAACAAGAATTTCCCCTTTCCTTGTGCGGGTTGTTTCTTCCCTCCCTCCCTCCCAACACCAGACCCCCTAATTGGCCTCTGACAACCAGACAGCGAGAAACGAAAGTGGCTCCATCCCCTCCCTGGCTGCGCTGGGTGAAACATTGAGAGGACAGCTCTGGACAGGAGCACCGAGGCTCAGCACCACGCGTGTACCCAGATGCTGACAACTGGCAGCCACAGGAGGAAGAACTTAAACAACTTCCCTGCTGTGCTTTCATTTGTTAAAAGCCATGGTATGTTGCACTGCTGACTACTTCCACCACTACCTACCCCGTCAAATAAACACAAGCACTAGGAAAGCCAGTGGCTCCTAAAAAGCAAAGGCTCACTTATGCTACAGATCACCTCAAATCAACTGCGACCATCACTTTTAAAAGAACATCTGTAAATTGTGCCATGCTTTAGTAGTGTTTGCAAGTAGACATAGGGAGATAAATGCCAACAGTCCTCTGAGCACAGAAAACTAGTGACCAATTTGTCATTAGGATGAAATAATTCTTGAAAAATAGAGTTTTCCCCCTCCTTTCTCTGCACATTCGCTCCTCAAGAAAGAGGCAAACAGAATACAAGAAACGTTTTATACAACCTAATGCGTAAGTTTTCTAAATAACTTATGGTGATGTTTTGGAGGAAGTAATTCTTCTGCAGCTATTCAGAGCCCGATAAAACAAGGGCAGGCCTGGGGACTGCAGAGCTGCTGCATGGCAGGTAACCAGGAACTGCTCCTGCAGCCGGCGCAGCACCATCCCTTACCCAGCCTGGCTCTGGCACTCTCCTCAGGGCTGGACACCGAGTTCTCGGTCTCAATATTATTCAGTTTGCTTTCAAAAAGGGGGGACATTGGGTAACACCTCATCCCTGCTCCTGTGGGCAGGACCCCACGCAGCAGCGCTGTAACCCCGTACCACATGGCCACAACCCGGCGGAAACCCCGGGGATGGGCCCCTCCTGCCTGCCTCCAGGATTCGCCCTGGGGATTTCTCAGACCTGTCTCTGCCTGTACAAACGTACGGGTGGAACCACCGGACAGCCTGGGCACCACTGCACAAAGCCAACACCGTGACCCACTGCAGAGGCTGCTTTTGAACCCCCGGCCAGGCTCCTCGGCATTAGCCAAGGGATGGGCAGGGCACCAGCAAGATCTGCAAGCTTCATGTGTGCTTTCCTCTACCCCCTCTCCTGGTGGGGACGATGGCTTCACTGGGGAAGGGGCTGCAGCGCCTGTCTGCAGTACGAAAGGGGCTCCATGATGGAGCACCATGAGAATGGGCTTCTCTCCTTTCTGCTCCAAGGAGATCAGCAAGTTAAAACTCCTGCTGTTATCTAGGGGTAAAGAATTAAATGCAAGAAGTGGTGAGCTAAACTCACTGGGATGGGAAAAATCTCCCAAACTTCAGCAGCCTGCCTTTGTGGAGTGAAAATCTCTGCCCTGCTCCTAGAAGAGCCCAATGGCTCCTGACAACTCAACTCAAATAGAAAGAGGCTTTTTAATGCTTTTTTTTTTTGGCTTCTCAGCAATCCAGCAGCCCCCAATCCTCAGCACCGAGTTAATTGCTCACAGGCTCCAAGGACGTGAATCTTCATCACCAGACACTTTTCTTCCATCTGTGCAAAGTGAGAGTAAAATGGCACCAATGCAGCTGGCTGGGGCTCAGACAGCCCAGCACCACCACCAGGTAAGGAACTGCATTAATCTGGCAGGAGAAGACGACTCTTCGGTATGAGGTAGGTTTGGGTCACCCTTCTCATGGCATCTTTCCAGCTGCACAAGACCAGCTCCCTCCACAGCCCTTCCCATCACCTGAGACCCAACAGGAGCCCAGCATTCGGGCTCAGATCTGCAGCATCCCCCCTGCACGACTCTTGCAGGGCTGCTCTGGCTGCTGCAGACCAGAGCGGAGGCTGTCCCTGGCCAGGCAGCTGCTCTCTTCTAAGCTCCAGCCTTCAAGGGAGCTTCATCAGCCTTAGAAATTCCTCCTGGTTGGAACTTGGCACAAGTGCTTTGGGTTGGGAAAATACCAATTTCTACCAAATTTGGGATAAATCTGTGTAGATGTTTCTACACTGCAGGAATGGAGAAGATGAAAAAAGAGCTACTATTTTTTTTAAGTATTAACAATACTTACAGGGCCTTCTTCAACTTGAAAAGGACTTTGCTGTTCCAACCGAAATTCTGCATGTCCTTGACACCAGCCACCCCACTTTGGCATGACGCTTTGTTCTACTTTTTTCCCCTCAAACAGAGTTTGTTTAATTTCAGCAGGTGGTTCTACAAACCAAACGTTTTTATTACCGATAAAAAAGCCCCATACAGCATGAGGCCTTGATCCTGCAGACAGAGCTGGGAGCAGAAACCAGTGCCCACACAAAGTGCTACTGGTTTCAAGGAGGAGACGTATTTGCAAGGAGCAGAGGGCTGTGCAGACGTGGCTGCAGAGCAAAGGCTGTGAAGTGCAGCCCGGCTGTCGGTCAGGATGCCCAGGGCTCTAGGGAGATGAAATGAATCACCACTGCCCTCGGACTCAAACCCACGCCTTCAGTCTAGCTCGTCCTCACCATCGTTTTGATCCTGAACATCCCCAACCACTGCGTTTCACCAGGACGGGTTAGAGGCCACAGCCTCTCCAACACTACAGCAGGTTCGCCATCTCTCAGAGAACAAATTTTAGGAACCGATGATGTGACTGACAGTGACACAAAATGTTCCCAGTTTAGACATCCAGCTATGAAACAACTTTGAGGATGTCTTGCTCTAAAGCAACGGGCACCTCTAGCAACCTCAGAACTCCAACGCTGGTAGGGGCCATAATGCCACAGCTCTCGGTGCTTCTCAGCAACACACGCACTCTTCAAGACCACTTTCAGCCTCATGAAAGCCACCAGAAGGACAGAAGAGCTGCCATTATTCACTTCTCAGTACCAGCTGCAACACAGCAGGGAAAACAACAGGGAACTGGTAGCAAATCTGCTGTGTGGATACTGGGCTGGGGTCAAGTAAGGACAACTCCATTTTATACCTGAGTGGCCTAGGAATACAACATGAGAAAATACAGTGGAAGTCAAGCCCCTGCGTTTCCAATGGTGATCTCGATGTTAAAAGGTGCAGTTTCGCTGCAGTGACTGGCTGTCGCTCCACCACGTCAAATGCTCAGCACAGGACACACAGACCTGCTGAGACGCTCTCCTCGCTGAGCACTGGACCTAAAAGCATCATCCCAGTGCCTGGAGCGGGTCGCTGCACGTGTCGGGAAGGGGCACGGTGCTCAGAGACCAACTTATGTCAGCGAGCGGTGTGCTGAGCCTGCTGGGACCAGTGCACCCATCCATCCCTTGAGCCTGCTGGGACCAGTGCACCCATCCCATGGAACTGGAGGAGTTTGTTGCTGTTAATTTAGCACGAGTATTCACTCCAGAGAAGGAGCATTCCTACTCTGTCCCAGGTGGCACATGAGCCTGCAGCCAGGGAATCACCACCCAGCAACAGACTCTGCTGCTGGCCTTGGTAACATGCTAAATATAGCTGTATTTTCTGGCTCCTCACAAAATGGAAGGAGTCTGAAGGACCATATTCGTCAGCTTCTTTGCCAAATACAGCCAGGAGGGAAAAGCATATGGATTGCATTTCCCAAGGCTTGAAAAATGGGTATTAAAAATAAATCATTAGAAGATTTTATAAGAGTATCTTCTCCCCCTTTCTTCCCACACGCCCCCCCACCCTTACAGTAGGTTGCTGGCATGTGATTGACTCTGTGTTGCCAACTGAAGTCATGCTGTGATGGCGCATACTGTAAATGGCTGGCATCTCACACGAGCTAACGTGACAGCAGCTTGCAGTGCAACAAAGCCAGCTGTTTCAAGTGTGGCACTGACGGCAGCACGCTTCAACCCAGCAGAAAACCCTGCACTGCACCTGGCTGTTTGGAGTCTGCTGGGCTGCACCTTGTCACCCGCATCCTAGCTCGGAGGGATACAAGTAAGAGCACGCCGGGTACTGCACCAGGCTGGATGGACATATCCTGAGCATGCTGCACACGTTCTCTTCTCGCTGGCTGCTGAAGTGAGCTGAACTGTGCAGCAAAAACAAGGCTTCTAGCACAAACCCAAGACCTGTTCATGTTTGCACCAGCAACGTAGTGTATTATGGTCTCCAATCCTGGGTGCCAGTGAGGGGTTCCAGAGCAGACACGTGTTTCTGGTTTTAGTGACTGCACTGCGTGTCCCGTCAGTCGCTGGCAGTTCTCATGAAGTATCTTCAAGCAAATGTTGCTTTTCACACACTGGAGGCTGCAGTAGGCTTGTGCCCTGACTGTGCTGTCTTTTCCAGAGACACTGATGACATGTGCAATGACTGACAGCAAAAAGAATGAAGAGAGACCAGGCAGGAAAGGATTTCTATGTTTTGCACAAAAGCAGGCACCAAAACACAGCTTGTCTACATAACTTATCCCTGCATGAAGCAGCAGATTTCCACCCCCCCAAAGAGGCACTCAGTGGGGAGGCACATTCACAGATGCACTGGCCCTGCTTACTCAGTGCCTGTCTCCCCAGCATGAAACACTCTCTGCTTTCCATCCCACTCAGCACATGCACGCAGAGGCCTTCTCCCGTTCGGGGATCCTCGCTCCTGCCAGAGCCCTGCA